ATAGTGATCAAAAGCTAAACAGATTTTTTAAGAGGGGTCAGAGTAAGAAAAGAGAAGGATAAATAGAAGAAGATCTAGCAAACATAACTGTGAATGTAGATGGATGAAATCACCCATAAAATGGGAGCAAGTAGAAAATAGATTAGAAACCAGAATCCAACAATGTATTGTTTACAAGAGACACACTTGAAAAAGAAAGACATACAATTAAAATCAGGAACTGGGAGCAGAATCTATTGTGCTTCAGCTGAAGTAAAAAAGGCAGGGGTAACAATTATGATCTCAGACAAAACAAAAGCAAAAATAGACCTAACTAAAAGAGATACTACATTTTGCTAAAAGACACTACAGAAAATGAAGTAATATCAGTACTAAGCATATATGCATATATATACCAAATGGAATAGCATCCAAATTCTTGAAGGAAAAGTTAAATGAGTCATAGGAGGAAATAGAGAGTAAACCTATACCAGTGGGGAAGCTCAACTTTCCCCTCTCAGGTCTAAATAAATCTAATCATAAAATAAAGAAGTTAAGAAGATGAATAGAATTTTAGAAAAGTTAAATATGATAGAACTTTAGAGAATGATGAATGGAGAAAAAAAAGTATATCTCTTTTTTCAGCTGTTTATGGTATATTCACAAAAATCAACCATCTATTAGGCCATAAAATTCAGAAAAGCAGAAATATTTAATGCACTCCTTTCAAAGAATAATTCAATAAAATTACATTCAATAAAGGGCCAGGGAAGCATATAATTAAAATTAATCGGAAATGAAGTAACCTAATTTTAAAAAATTAGTGAATAAAAAAAGAAATCATAGAAATAAATAATAATTTCATTAAAGAGAATGACAACAATGACACAATATACCAAAATTTATAGAATGCAGCCAAAGCAGTACTTAAGGAAAGTTTTATATCTTTAAATGCTTATATCATTTAAAAGAGAGAAAAAGTAGATCAGTGATTTGGGCATCTAACTAAATACTAGAAAAACAACAAATTTAAAATTCCCAACTAAACACCAAAATAGAAATCCTCACTAAGTAGAGATGAATAAAATTGAAAGTTAAAAAACAAACAAACAAGTATTGAACAAATAAATAAAATTATGAGCTGATTGTATGTAAAAAAATGCATTAACCATTGGCTAACTTGATTTAAAAAATAAAGAAGAAAACTAAATTGCCAGTATTGAATATGAAAAGGGCAAATGCACCACCAGTGAAGGTGAAATTAAAGCACTTATTAAGAGCTATTTTGTCTAACTATATGTCAGTAAAACTAACAACCTAAATTAAATGGACAAATATTCACAAAGATATAACTTGCCTAGATTTTATAGAAAAGAAAATAGGATACTTAAATAACTTTTTCTTAGAAAAAGAAATTGAACAAATCATAAATGAACTCCCTAGGAAAAATCCTCAGGACCAGATAGATTTACAGGTGAATTCTACCAAACACTTAAAGATAAATTGACTCCAATACTCTACATAGGTTATTTTAAAAAAAATAAATAAAGAGTACTGCAAATTTCTTCTATGACACAAATATTGTTTTGACACCTGTCCCAGAAAGAGGAAAAACAGAGAAAGAAAATTATGGACCTATTTTCCTATTGAATATTGATGCAATGATGGTAAATAAAATATTAGCAAGGTGATTGCAGCAATATATCACAAAGTTCATACACTATGACCAGGTGGGATTTATACCAGGAATGCAGGACTGGTTCAGTATTAGGAAAACTATAATCATGATTGACTATATGAATTTTTTAAAAAAAGAACAAAAATCATGTGATAATAGATGTAGAAAAAGCTTTTGATAAAATACAACACCCATTTCTATTAAAAAAAACACTAGAAAGCATAGGAATAAATGGATCTTTTCTTAAAATGATAAGTAGTATCTATTTAAAATCAAGAGCAAGGATTATCTGTAATGAAGATAAGCTAGAAACCTTTTCAATAAGGTCAGAATGAAGCAGGGATGTCCATTATTATTCAATATTGTACTAAAATGTTAGCTATAGCAATGACAAGAAAAAGAAATTAAAGGAATAAGAAAACGTAAAACTAGGAAACAAAACTATCACTTTGCAGTTGATATGATGGTATTAGTAGAGAAACCAAGAAAATCAACTGAAAAGTAGTTGAAACAATTAACTCCTTTAGCAAATTTGCAGGACATAAAATAAACCTGCATAAATCATCAGTGTGTGTGTGTGTGTGTGTGTGTGTGTATTTACTTATATACATACACATACATATATTGGTTTATATTATATATTCACAAATATATATGTATATATAGAGAGAGATTTTGGTGGATACATATATGTGTGTGTATGTGTGTGTGTGTGTATGTATGTATCCACCAAAATCTAGTAGAAAGAGATAGAGTAATCCCATTTAGAATAACTGCATACAGTACAAAATATTTGGAAGTCTACCAACCAAGATACATACAGGAATTATATAAACATAATTACAAGGCATTTTTCACACAAATAAAGAAGATCTAAACAGTAGGAAAAATTAATTCCTCATGGATTGGTCAAGTTAGTATAATAAAAATGGCAAAACTACCTAAATTACTTTACTTATTCAATGCTGTACTAATCAAACAACCAAAAAATTATTTTATAGTACTAGAAAAAAATAAGAATAAAATTCATCTGGTGGAACTAAAGGTCAAGAATATCAAGAGTATCAATTAAAAAAAGGACAACAGTGAAAGGAGACCTTCCAGTACCAGATCTCAAACTATACCGAAAGACAGTAATCATCAAAACAATCTGATACTGGGGCAGCTAGGTGGCACAGTGGATACAGCATCGGCTCTGGAGTCAGGAGGACCTGAGTTCAAATGTGACCTCAGACACTTGACACTTACTAGCTGTGCGACCCTGGGCAAGTCATTTAGCCCCATTGCCTAGCAAAAAAAACCAAACCAAAACAAAAAACCAATCTGATACTGGATAAGAAATACAGTGGTTGATGAATGGAATATATTAGGCACACAACATACAGAAGTAAATGACTAAAGTAAACTAGTGTCTGATAAACCCAAAGATCCAAGATATTGGGACAAGAACTCATTATTTGACTAAAACTGCTGGGAAAATTGGAATGCAATCTGGCAGAAACTAGATGTAGAACAACATCTCACACCATATACTGAGATAAGGTCAAAAATGTTGCATGATTTAGTCATAAAGGTTGAACTCATAAGCAAATTAGGAAAGCAGGGGAGAAATTACCTGTTAGATCAATGGAATAAAAGGAAGAATTCATGAACCAAACAAAGAGATAGAGACGATCATAGGAGGTAAAATGAATAATTTTGATTACATTGAATTAAAAAGATTTTGCAAAAACAAGATCAATTTAGCTGAAAGTAGAAAGAAATCAGGAAACGGGGGGGCAGTTACAGCAATTTTCTCTGAAGGTCTCATTTCTCAAATATTTAGGGAACTGAGGCAGATTTATAAAAATAAAAGCCATGCTCCAATTGACAAATAAAGTATATAAATATGCAGTTTTCAGAAGAAGAAATAAAAGCTTTTAATAGTCATATGAAAAAGTGTTCTAAATTACTAAAAATTTGAGAAGTGCAAATTAAAACAACTCTTGAGTTGCCATCTCACACCCATCAGATTGTTTAAGATGACAGAAAAGGAAAATGATAAATGCTGGAGGGGAGGTGAAAAAATAGGCATGCTAATGCACTGTTGGTGTAGCTATGAACTAGTGTAACCATTCTGGAGGAAAATGTGTAACTATGCCCAAAGAGCTATAAAACTGTGCATACCCATTAACCTAATGATACCACTACTAGGTCTGTACCCCAAGAGATCAAATAAAAAGGCAAAGGAACCATATGTACAAAAATGTTTATAGTAGCTCTTTTTGTTATGGCAAAGAATTGGAAACTTTGGAACACCCATCAACTGAGGAATGGTCAAACAATTTATGACATATGATAGTGACGCAATACTATTATGCTATAAGAAATGATGAGCAGGATGGTTTCAGAAAATCCTGGGAAGACTTATATGAACTGATGCAAAGTAAAGTGACTAGTACGAGGAGAACATTGTACACAGTAATAGCAATATTATAAGGATCAGCTGTGAAAGACTTAGCTTCTCTGATCAGCACAATGATCCACAACTATTTCAAAGGACTTATGATGAAAAACACTTTCCACCTCCAGAGAGAGAACTGGTGAACTCTGAGTGTAGATTGAAGCATATTTTCCTTCACTTTATTTTTCTTGCTTCCCCCACTCCCCTGCATCGTGGTTAATATGGAACGGGAAAAAAAGAACCACGTCTTCTCCAAAAGCAGCCTTTTATCTCCTATGGCAGCTGCCATACCAAATGACTGTCTTTTTTATGCATATGGATTATCCATCTGTGTTAAAGTGTTAAAGAGTCTAGGTAGGGTATGGATGAGAAATGAAATACAGCAGGTCAACAAGCCCTCCAGGAGTTTACATTCTGCTCTTAATAATCAAAATGATCCTGATATGGAATTGTTTGTTTCTTGTCTGAAAGCTGAGATGTATGTTGTGAAGCAGAAATTGATATACATTTAAATGTGGTTCTAAAAGTAACAAACAGTTAAATTAAGGTTGTAGACCAAAGAACTTTCATTTCAATTGTGCTTACAGAAGCAAAAGAGTTGCTGTGGAATCCATCCCAGAAGCTGTCACCTGTAATAATCATCTACTTTTCATGTCTAGGGTTATAAGGATAGACCAAGGCTTTTAAGGACATCACTTTGGATGGCAAATCCCAAAGGCTCCCTTTTATCGTAACTGAGACCAATAAGGCATCAATAAGAATAACTTTGTACATTTAAAGTTAATTCCTAGGCGTGTTGGGTTTTGTTCCTGTGGGCTTATAAAAACTGGATGGGTTTTTTGTTTCATTTTGTTTTGGATGAAACAGGCTTGTAAATCTGTTTGGGTTGGGTTTGTACAGGATGAACTGGATGAACTTCGTGCAGAAATGGAAGAGATGAGGGACAGCTATTTAGAAGAAGATGTTTACCAATTGCAGGAACTCAGACGAGAACTAGACCGTGCTAATAAGAACTGCCGTATCCTGCAGTACCGTCTCAGGAAAGCTGAACAGAAAAGCCTGAAGGTTGCTCAGACTGGTCAGGTGGATGGAGAACTCATCAGAAGTCTGGAGCAAGATTTAAAGGTATGTGATCAATAGAACCCAAGCATGTCTTCCTGAGAAAAGATGTTTTTGTTTTTGTTTTGTTTTCTCTGGGAATTAAAAAAATAAAAAAACTAAGTAATTCTCAAATTTGTGGTTTATGTGGTAGCTCTATGTTTTTGAAAAGATTATTTATGGACACTAAGCTGGAAGTATGTTGCTGATAAGATTTTGAAGTGTAAAGATAGTGATGTTGTTGATGATGATAACTTTAGGAAGTGCTTCGTGGTTTACAAAGCACTTTTCATATATTGGTAATGGTAGCCTGCTCTTTTCAGAGATCTGTCCCAATGTACTGTTGGGTAAGCTTCGCAAAGCTTAAGAATAACCACAGTACCATTGATCAAGACATATGTACAATGTAAAATTAATGAAACTCATTTTCATTTCTTATAGCACAATAGTATTCCATCACAATCATATGCCACAACTTGTTTGGCCATTCTCCAATTGATGAGCATTCTTCAGTTTCCAAGTCAGGGATTCTTAACCTTTAAAAAATTAATATTGTGATAACTATATTTCAATATAATTGGTTTTTTAAATAATCATATGTATTTTATTTTATTCATTTAATAGTGTTATACTGAAAAGAATTCTACAGGTTTTGCCAGCCAGCCAAAGGGGCTCATGACACAAAAAGGTTAAGAATCATTAGAGTAAATATTATTATAAACACCCAAATTAACTATAAAGGACAAATCAAGAAAGATGCTATCTGCATCCATAGAAAGAACTGATAAATAGAAGTATGTATAGAAAGATTTTGCACACACACATATAGATATAGATATAGATACTTATTTGTGTCTAATGGTGGCCATCTCTAGGGTGGGGGAGGGCAGGGAAGAAAAAAAGAAAAGAGAAATTTACATGATAGCTTTGTTGTGGATTTAAAAGGAATAACAAGTTATACATAGTAGATTTGCAGTTTCATGTGCAATCATCTTTCAAAAATTATATTATGTTATGGAAATGCTTGTTTTATTCCATAAATTAAAAATAAATCTAGAATAAATCTCAATGGATCCCAAAATATGATGAAAGCACCTCAAGAACTTCCTACCCAGCCTTTTCTACTGAAAGTCTCCTTCACACACCTTATATTCCCATCAGACTCCTCCAAACATACTTCCACGCGTTTGGTTCACACCACCCCGTCCACCTAAGATATCCTTCTCTCCCTAGCTCTGCCTGTGTACTTCCTACCCATCTTTCAATGTCTAGTTCACCTGCTATTTTTTCCACGAAGCCATCTTTAATCTCATTCTCCGCCCCTGCCCCTCTCCCAAAGCCCTAAGCAAAAAATGATTTCCTCATCCCTCAAACTACCTTTATAATTCAGTTTAATTCAGATATTTAGCTATTGATACATATTTCATCTTGCTCCATGGGAACATATACATTGTCTTATTCTTCCTTGTATCCACCATGGCACTAAACAATGCCTTTAACATAATAGCTGTTGAATGAATGAACATCTACTGTGGAATACACATGGAATAATCTTGGAGTATGTTAAAGAGGAGTTCAATTTCTCAGGTCACTTGTTAAAGATGCCCACAGCCATTTAGCATTTCCAGATGGTGCTACAGTCTGACGTTCCCACAACATGGGAGGGAGTCTTAGGGTCACCATGTCACAGAACAGGAAATCAAAGCATTATTAATTTATCCATGTTTTTCTGGGGACCAAGAACAGAAAGGGGAATGAAATGATGGAATTCTAGAATGTTTCCTTTTGCTCTCTCTACTGAACTTTAGAGTCTCTAGTGACTCACATAGCAAGTCATTTATCTAAAGATTAATTATGTATCGTACTGCCTCTCCTTAAAGCCGAGCACTTCTGAGAAATGTCATTTTAGCCTTTCATTATGAGAACAGGAAAAGTTCTTCTCAATTCTATTAAAAGTGATAAAACACTAGCAATCAAAGTACCATTAAATATAATGTGATGGAGATTGGTATTTCCATAGTTATATTTCTGCCATCTATGGTAGAAAAACAGATTCTTCCTTATTCTCTGCTGCGTGGTAAAAATGTTCAACTAATTTTAAATATAAAGTATCTTATATTATACACACATGGAGAACTTTTATCTATATTTTCTTTTTGAATTCCTAATGAATTATAAATGCATATCTGTGTATATTACGTATGTGAATGTATATATGTACATGCATGCATACATTTTTTTCTCCCAAGAGGTTTTGGGATGTCCTACAAGGTCTAAATGACTAGTTTTGTTTAGTTCTGGTTTTTTTGATACCTTTTGATAGCTGCCATAGCTATTTCTCAATATCTACCTTTCTTCTAAATTGGCCCCTCCCTTATAACTTTCTATAAACATATAATGATAAATATTTATAATTAATCATTTATTATGTGCTAAGCACTGGAGATACAAATATAAATATGTATAAATATAAAAATATACACACATATAAACAAAAAATATATAACCATAAAATATATACAAATATAAAAATACATATATACATACATATACAAAAATAAATATTTATGAATATAAAAATAATGTAATCCTTATCTGCAAGGAGTTTACCTTGTAGGGGTGGAGGGGAAAGGAGAACATGTTGACATTTAAATAAGGTAAAAGATATAAGTAGATTGATAGGCAGATGGTAGATGATAGAAAATATATACACAGTGTAAGATACAAAACACACACACATATATAGATATATAGATATAGATAAATAGATAGATATACACACACATAGTGATTTGAGGATAGGGCAAGTAGTAATTGAGGAAATCAGGAAAGAATTATTGAAAGAGGTAGTAGTAACACCCCTGTACCCTGACTCTGCCCCAATCTGCAAGCTGACAGTGTATTCAATATTTCATTGTAGATCCCACTTTTCTACAGAGAGAAAAGAGGTATATTTCATAATCTGTTCTCTGGGACAAAAAAACCTAAAATTTATTTTAATTTAAAATTAATTTATTCTTAAAATAAACCCCTTTTCTCCTAAAAATGTAAGGCATAGAAAAAACAGTGTGTGTGTGTGCGTGTGTGTGTGTGTGTGTGTGTGTGTGTGATCTATTATAAAACTGGGTTACAGAAAAAAAAAATCTTTAACTGTAGAGCAGGGGTTCTTAACCTGAAGCCCATGAACTTTTTTTAATATGTTAAAAACTTTACTTCAGTATAATTGATTTCCTTTTTAATTTTATGCATTTTATTTTATGTGAAAACATTATTATAAAAAGGGATCCATAGGTTTCACCAGACTGCCAAAAGAAGGGTGATGTACAGCCATGACACAAAAGAAGTTAAAAATTCCTGATTGGGAGTCACTTTATATCCTGACTAGGTTGGTAGTTTAATAGTATGATGACATGTCAGAGAGTATTGTAGAGTATTGTATTGAAACTCTACGACAGAAGATAATTGAAGTAGAAATCTCAAAACAGTCAGTTGCAGTCGGTCTTCTTTTCCCTTGGATTTCTGTTATTAGTTTGGAGAATCAGTATTGTAGTATTGAGAGTTGTTAGAGAAGACAACCTCCCAATTTTGAGCATCTATAATCTTGTATTCCATTTTCTAAACATATTGTTGCTGTTGAGTAGTTTCAATTGTATCTGGCTCTTCATGCTCCCATTTGGGGTTTTCTTGGTAAAGATATTTGAGTGGTTTGCCATTTCCTTCTCTAGCTCATTTTATAGATGTGGAACTGAGGCAAACAAGGATAAGTGACTTGCCCAGGGTCACACAGCCAGTAAGTGTCTAAGGTCAGATTCAAACTCAGAAAGATGTCTTCCTGACTCCAGGCTCAACACTATTCACTGTGCCACCTCTAACCTAGTACATCAATGTAATAGTTCAAGGCTTTCATAACAGGTATTTCAGATCTAAATGTTTCCACTGTCTCTTCTGTTTGGTACAAAACAGGGATTATTAATCAGTTTTGTGCCATGAACCTTTTTGACAGTTGGTTAAGCCTCTGGACCCTTTCTCAGCGTAATGGCTTTTAATGCATAAAATACAGAGGATTATAAAGGAAACCACTATACTGAAATATGCACATACAAATACAAGTTTAGGAGCTTCAGGCTTTGAATCAATGGTAAAAAGCAATTCTTATTCATTCTCTTTGGGAGCTTTTTGGGTGGGCCACATATTTAGCTTATCTTCAGGTTTCATAATCTCACCATCATCATATACACATGGTTCAATACAGGTTGCCAAAGATGTATCTGTCAGACTGCACCATGAACTTGAGACTGTGGAAGAAAAACGTGCTAAAGCCGAAGATGAAAATGAAACTCTACGACAGAAGATAATTGAAGTAGAAATCTCAAAACAGGCCCTGCAAAATGAGCTGGACAAGTTGAAAGAGGTAAGTGAAGACATTTGGCAGAGTCTTACTTTTGATAAGAGATGGTTCATCGATTTGGTTACCAATATCTGATCCACCTTAGCCGTTTGAAAATAACAAATGACAAATGACAAAATGAAATATTTTCATATTTTCAAATGAAATGAAATATTTTCAAATTGAGGGTTCCACCTTACAGCCAACTATGTGCCATAGATAGAGATCCATAGTTGGTTCTAAGGTGGAACCTTCTATTTCAGATAACGATCAGAGACCTGGGAGACAGGATGGTGATCTGTTTTTTAGGGTCTAGTGAATGGGTTATTCATTCTCTGTATTTTCATTAGAATGCAAGCTCTTCGAAGGCAAGGATTGTGTTTGCTTTTTCTTTGTATGCCTGGCATTTGGCAAGCCCTTAATAAATGCTTGTTGATTGATTATAATATAAATATGGATATTCTTCATCTTGCAGAAGATGGATGTTACAAGAGACTTGTGTATAAAGTCAGTTGCAGTCGGTCTTCTTTTCCCTTGGATTTCCGTTATTAGTTTGGAGAATCAGGTTGTTTTTGTTTTCGGTTGTTTTTGTGGTTAAGTCTTGTCTGACAAAATTCATTTGGGGTTTTCTTGGCAAAGATACTGGAGTGGTTTGCCATTTCTGTCCCCAGCTCATTTTATAGATGAGGAAACTGAGGCAAACAGGGTTAAATTGTCCAGGTTCACATAGCTAGTAAGTGTCTGAGGAAGGATTTGAACTCAGGTCTTCCTGACTCCAGGCCTAGTGCTCTCTCCACTGTACCACTCTCTCCACTAGCTGCCCCCCAATATTAGTTTAAGATGATTATTCCCACAAACCAGGTCTGGCCCCTCACCCCCATGCCCTGAGAATATCAAGTTGCCAACTGTCGGTGAATTCGATTCAATTCAACAACCATTTCTTAAGCATGATGTGCAAAGTGTGGAGTAGTTGACAGATTGCCTGACCTCAAGTTCATCCTGCCTCATACACTTAATAGCTGTGTGACTGGGGGGCAAATAATCAAATCTTTCTCAGCCTTATTTTCTTCACCTGTAAATGTGGAATGACAGTACATACCTCAAAGGGTTATAGTGAAGAGCAAATGAGGTAATATACGTCAAGCACTTTGCAAACCTTAAAGAGCTATGGAAATGGTAGCTATTATTGATGTTGCTATTGATTTTGTTGTTGGTATCAGGTGCTGGAGATACCAAGTCACAAAAGAAACAGTCTCTGCAGAGCTTACATTTATTTGTTTTAAGAAAGGCTTACAATGGTGACCAACCCCAGGGCAGTTCACAACAGCCAGTTTTGGTGTGCTCACCTTGAGTTTCAAATCAATTTTTAATTCCAAAATCTTCCTTCCATTGTCAAGTGTGCATTTTCACCCTTTAGTCTGTTGATCATTCCACTACGTCTGTCACCACCACAAATACCACGAGGCCGTGGACATTTTTCCTGTGACTTGGAATTTCTGACTTTACACTTAAAGTTTCTGAAACCTTACTTTCCAGCTTCTCCTTTTGGTTAGATTTGCCAAAAGGTACCACCATATTAAGAGGCATTTTGAGGCTGGATTATATAATCTTTTGAATTTTAGTCTTTGGTTGATATAAATCATATTAGTACTCTCTCTATACTTTTTGTATAGATGTTCAAACTTCTGCACGCCAGTTTTACTCAGAAAAAGAAATAGCCATTCAGAATATAATAGACTGAAAGGTGTACAAATTCAGGCCCTTCAGTTTACGTGAGACAAAGATCAGTCGGTGAGTCAGTGAGTGAGCATTTCTTAAGACATGCTGTGTGCCAGGCACTGAGCTAAGAGGTAGGGAGGGATACAAAGAGAGGCAAAAGACAAGTCTCTGCCCTTGAGGAATCCACAATCAATTGGTGAGACAACATGCAAACAACTGTGTACAGACAAGCTAGATACAAGATATAGAGGAAATCACCAACCAAGAGAAGGAACTAGAATTAAGAGGGACTGGGAAAATCTTCGTGTAGAAAGTGGGAATCTCAGGTACCAACCACACCTGGGAAACATTCTACCTATAATTCACTGACAAGTGGTCACCCTAAAGGCTTAATTGTTATGGTTTTTCCTGATGTCAAATGTAAATTTGCATCTTTACGACTTAGTTCTGATGTCTTAGGCCAAACAAAAAAATCCTAACTGCCTTTCCACGTGGGTGTGCTTTTAATACTCGAAGATACCTGCCTTACCTTCCCTGAGTGTTTTCTTCTCTCGGCTAAATATCTTTCAATTCCTTCAATAGTCCTCGTGTGGTATGATTTTCCATTTCCTCACTCTCCTAGTTGCCCTAGATTTTCTTTAGCAAATCAGTGTCCTTCAGAACCAGAATTTCACAGGAGGTGTTGGAGCATTGAGATCCCTCTAGGGGTACTGCTTCCTTCTTTACCCTTCTTTACCCCTCCCCTCTGCGCCAGTGCCCATTGCTTACCTAACTGGCCTACTGTCGCCTTGATCCCCTTGCCAAACCCTTGTCCCGCCCCCAGAATTCCAGGGCCTTCGTGTCTCTCTTCTCTTGCCACTAGTTTGGAGCAGACTCTTCTGTCCTCTCATCCCAAGGGCTCTTTGGCCTGTTGATCTATGCCTCTTCATAGGGTTTGATCAGCTGGGTGGGGCAAGGAGAATTGGGATCAGAGATTTAGAAATGGATGAGATCTTAGAGGTCATCTAACATAACTCTCTTATTATAGGAGGGGTCACTGAGAGGTTAAGTGACTTGGCCCAGGGTTACTTACACAGGTAGTATATTATAGAGACAGAATTTGAATTAAGGTCCTCTGATTCCACATGTAACACTTTCCACTCAGCCATGCTAAAGTTTCATGTACTAGCTATCTCTCTCCTCTTTTTTTCACCCCACAAAAAATTCATCAAATTCACCTCCAGTCCTTCTCCTCCTATGCCCTCTGTTTCCACTGTGGAAAAATGACTGGGTTTAGAGTCAGAGGTCCCCCTTCTAAATTCTGGTTCTTCTACTTGCTCAATGTCACACAACTAATAGGTTGCTTTACCCCTCTGGGTCTCCATTTCTTCATCTGAAAAGTGATGGGATTGAATTGAAGTATTTATATGTTTTCTTTTCCCATTTCTTCTCTTTCCTTGTGCTCATTGAAACCTATCTCTCTGAACACACCACATCTCCTACCCTCTCTGAGGCTGCTTACTCCATATGCCCCAACCCACAGTTCCAGGAGGAAGACCACAATGCTAGCTCCTATTCTTACTTTCTGGCCCTCCCTTTTACCATTGTCACCTAGCCAACACATCTTTTTTGAAGTTCATACCATCTGAGCTGGATCTTTGTTATTGTCAGCTATGAATTTCAAGTCATTCTCTCTCTCCTCCAAAATAATTTTAATATTTTACTTATAGTCATCTTCTCTCTCCCAACCATTATCACTTTTGAAAATGCTACACTCCCAGTTTTTCAGTCTACTCTACTTGATTTAGTCTTATCTCCAATTTACCTTAACAGCTCACAGGAGCAGTAATAGCTTAGCTAGCTCCTTAGATACCACCTTTAGGTATCCCATTGGGAGAACTGTGAGAATCTAGTTATGACTCTGATGTCTTTCCTAAAATGCAGCACTTAGTACTCTACATGCAGTCTTTTCATGGCAGAGAACACCCTGTTATCCTTAGAAACTATGCCCTTCTTAAAGTAAGCTAATATCTAATATCAATTAGCTTTCTGGTGGTAATGTCATACTTATCTCAGATTGAGCTAGTAATCCACAAAACTCACTAGGGCTTTTCAGGCAAAGAGCTATCTAGCCATACCTGCTCTATTTTATACTTTAAAGTTGATTTTTTGACCCAAATATAAGACTTTATATTTATTCCCACCAAATTATTGATTTATTCCATTCATCCCAATGTTCTAGCCTTTTAAGATCTTTTTGACTTTCTTCCTTTCAAATCTTCTTACATTTTCTCAGCCTCCATGTACTCTACTATCTGGCTATACTGGCTTCCTCCCCATTCCTCACATGAGACAGTTGATGTTCCTGATTCTATGTCTTTCCACTGATGGTCCCCCATGTTGGAATGTTCTCCCTCCTCAGCTCTGCCTCCTAGACCCACTTCTGCAAGAGGCCTTCCCTCTGAAATTACCTTTCTCTCTCTCTCTCTCTCTCTCTCTCTCTCTCTCTCTCTCTCTCTCTCTCTCTCTCTCTCACTCACTCTCTCTCTCCCCCTCTTCTTTCTCCATATATATGCATGTATGTATATATATGCACATATACATGCAGATAGATACAGATTTAGCTACATATGCATATATGCTTTTCCAATACATCTAATAATATCAAATCATAAGCTATCATTAGAGAACAGAAGTGATCTCCATGGTTGTTGACACAGAAATATTCAGAACAGTGGCTAATACCAAGAACTTCAAAAAGTAACACAATTGTTTAGGACAGCTACATGGGGGAGAGATGAAGGCAATCTGTCTCCTCCTCCTTCCTTGATGTTCTCACGCACTTTTATCATTCTGATTGAATGTTGTCAGCCTGCTGCCTCCCCAGGCATTTAAAAACTAAGCTGAAAAGAGTATTCAATGGTAATGAAATAAGTCATTTATCCCCAGAGCTACTGTTAGCTTCAGAGATCCTATTGTACTGCAGGTTTATATTAATCATGTAAGCTCACTGGTAATGATAGATAGCATTTATATAATACATTAAGGCTGCAAATTGCTTTACAAATACTATCTCATTTTATCCTCAGAACAGCCCTAGAAGGGAGGTGTTATTACAGTGCCCATTTTATAACTGAGGAAACTGAGGCAGACAGATGTTAAGTGACTTGCCCAGTGTCATACGGCTAGTAAGTGTCTGAGGTAGGCTTTGAACTCAAGTTAACCACAAGGACTTGTGTAGTTAACAGCAGTTGACCATACTTAAGTATTCCAAAAGATGGTCACTTTTTTAATGATGAGGAGAGGGAGAACATTGATGGCCTGAG